AGGAAGGAAGGCAGGAAGGCAGGAAGGAAGGCAGGAAGGAAGGAAGGAAGGCAGGAAGGAAGGAAGGAAGGAAGGAAGGAAGGAAGGAAGGAAGGATGGATGGAAGGAAGGAAGGAAGGATGGAAGGAAGGAAGGAAGGAAGGAAGGAATCTGAACTTATCACAGGAAGACAATGTACAGGAGTGATAAACACACCAAGAACATCCAGTTTCCTGTCCATCTGAACACAAGTTTCAACACTTCATGGAAAGCCACTGTGAGTAAACCTCAACTCCAGCTTCATGCATGGACATGATTATTTTCTGTCTGCAGAAGTCTCTGAGCAGAGGAGAAGGCAATCAGTCACCAAGAAGTGAGACCTCCTAAGCAGCTACCCAGTGCACAGCCTGAAATGAACTCTGGTTTTGCCCTTGAATGGGTCAATTCATGGAGAGAATGGCTGGGGAGGGGGTGGGAGCCAGCAAGGGGAGGGATCATGAAGGGAGTTCATTCCTTTATGGGGAAATCTGGGTGCTGGGTCCACGATGACAATGCTCTCCTTCTAGAATATAAGCACTGGACTCAAGTGTCAGAGGCCTGGTGAACAGAGAACAGGCTTTGCTACAAGCCCAAGCACTAGAGACTGTACTTTAAGCCAGACCTGATCCTTCAAAAATGGGAGGTGCAAACAACCACCTGACCTCCAGCCGAGAAAAAAATACAACCTGTAACCGACATTTAAAGAAAGTTCCTTTACAATATTGTAAATTAGATTAAAAAGGGTACTTAGGTTTCATAGTTACAAATATTGCACACCTCCTTAGCAAAGCTGCCTAGCATGTACGTGAAAACATAGAGAACTGTTTCTTCAAACAAGCAATGTTTTCATGTGTACAAAGAGGAAAAGATTTGTTGGAAAGCATCACTCAGTGATCCTAGCACTAAGCACAGTATGCACACAGAAAGCTCCCTGGAGAGAGCACCAGAGAGGGCACAAAGCCACCACAACCATTGCTCCATCCAGACATATCCGCTACTAGGCTGCTTCATTTCTACAATTAGTAGTCTTACACACGACTTTCAAGCAGGTGTTCAAGACCACTTCCATATCGTTTCCCACCAAAAAAGGCAAGGTGCATTAGTTTTCAGACACACACATGCAAACAAGCACACAAACACAGCCTGAGGACTGGCCCACAGGCCTTGGTAGCCAGGCCCTCTAGGAAGCTTCCGCCCTCGGGACCCTGGCAGCCTCACTACCCTTCCTGACCCAAATGCACCTGCCATCACCTCTCCTCCCTTGGGTGCCTCCGACACACGCTGGCTGCTGCAGGACCCCATGCGGCCGCACAGCCTGGACACCAGTGCTCCCTCCCACGACAGCTGGGATCTACCCAAGAGAGGGGCAGGGCTCGGGCAGGAAGAGGTGGTGACGACCACAGTGCCGAAAAGGCCAAAGAACAGGGGTCAGCTAGTGTGGGCGGCCCTCAAGTCACGAGGCACAGAGAGCTCGTCCACTTATACAATGGGGCCACACAGCCTGGTCCATAGCCTTGGCAAACACACTACACACACATACACACAAACACACACACATGCGTGTGTGCACACCCCAACTCCATCAGCCTCAAAGCAGGAGGGCCTTGCTTTACAAATAACGTCCTTAAGGGACACTCCACATCCCTGACTATACAAATATCTCACAGCCTTCATGGCAAGTCTGTTCTGTGTGCTTACACACACACAATCTTGATTGACAGGGTGAGGGTAGAGGTCGGTGGTGGAGCACTTGCCTCGCACATATTAGAATGGCTTCGGGTCCACAGGTGACATGCATCAGCGCAATATGTACAAAGATGCCAGGCTGCAGGATGAGGTGGGTGCGGGAGCCAGCCAACCCTGGGTTTAACCTGGCTTTACCTTACTGTCGGGGGATGAACAAGCTCCTCAGACCACTTCCTCCTTTTACACAAAGGAGTTCCCCTCGAATAGGACACTTATGCAAGAACGTACATTCCTGATCTGAAAATACAGGGAGAAATCTACCATACCTAGCCAACCTCCCAACCCAAATGAGACTCCATCAAGAGCCACCTCTTCAGAGCATTGGCCAGAACATGACTTCCTAGGACAGCATGCCCTGAATTAGCAGCTCCATGCTTCATTCACCAAACACTGAACTTCTACCCATGTCAGAATTCTGTCATCACCTGAACCCTCAACCTACACCATTTTGACCTATGAAACAAGGAAGTTCCATGAGAACAAGGGCAGTTAAGGTTGTTGGATAAGTCCGCAATTCTTCAGTACCCATGAAAACATGGGTAGGATAGGAAGAAGGGGAACCAGGCAGACATCTAAGATCACGGGATTTTAAAAGAATCTTAGTCAAAGTGCAAGAGAGCAAAGTGAGAAGATAAAGATGAAAAGATGTAAGCTAGAGATGCCCGCTCGCCTGTCCCTCTCCTCCCCAAGCAGCTCACCTGTCTCTCTCCTCCCCGAGCAACACGACTGTCCCTCTCCTCTCCCAGCAGCTCACCTGTCTCTCTCCTCCCTGAGCAGCACGCAGAGCTGCAGGGAGGAAAAGGCAGGTCTGGTGCTTCTCTGGAGTACGCGGGAGGCGAAGAAGGATGAATGACTTCCTACATCAGACACACTTCTATTTGTGACCACTACCTCTCAATCATGTTTCAAAACTACCCTGCCTTCTCTGACAGCAGGCATGATCGGAAGAACAGCTGCTTCCTGTGCAGACACAACGTACTCAGTGGAATAACTGATAACATACTGTTATCAATCAACATGGAAAACCACAGGCCCATTTTCCCATATCAACAGATCCAAGAAACTTCATGCTCTAGTGGTAAGAGGTGACAAAGGACAGTCATTTTTCCCAGCAAACCCTTCTTGGGTCCAGAGGGGAAGGGTGTCTGTCACAGGCAGCCAAGCATGCTAGGCTCAGGAGAACCAGGCTAGGTCACAAATTCGTCTCTTATAACTGCAAGATCTCCTGTAATTGCGAGATCTGAGCCAGTCTAGCAATTAGTTGTCTGAGCTTGACCCTAGCTATTCAGGGCTGAGATACAGAGGATCACAGTTCAAAGCCAGACTGGGCAGAAGAGTCCATGAGACTCACTCTCCAAAATAACAGGCAAAAAGCAAGGCTAGAGGAAGGCTCAAATGGCAGAACACCAGTCAGACAAACAAGCAGAATAAGCCCTGAATTCAAACCCTAGTACTATCTAAAATAAGAAAAGAGGAGGATCTGGTCCATACAAAGAAAGGAAGCAAAGGCTGCTGATGAGCAGTGGAGCAAAGCACAGAAATGTGCTCACAAGAAGAGGACAGGAAGCTGTGGAGAGAAGGAAGTACTCTCAAGAAGAGGACAGGAAGCTGGGCGCTGGTGGCTCACACCTGTAATCCTAGCTACTCTGGAGGCTGAGATCTGAGGATTGTGGTTCAAAGCCAGCCCAGGCAGGAAACTCTGTGAGACTTTTATCTCCAATAAACCACTAGGAAACCAGAAGTAGTGGTGTGGCTCAAGCAGTAGAACGCTCGCCTTGAGCTGAAGAGCTGAGGGATAGCACCCAAGCCCAGAGTTCAAGCCCCATGACCGAAAAAAAAAAAAAAAAGACAGGAAACTGTGGAGAGAAAGAAGTGCTCACAAGAAGAGGACAGGAAGCTGTGGAGAGAAGGAAGTGCTCATAAGAAGCAGGACAGGAAGCTGTGAAGAGAATAACTGCTCACAAGAAGAGGACAGGAAGCTGTGGAGAGAAGGAAGCTCTGATGGCAAGGCAGGAGATCAGACAAGAGGCCATCGTATCCACACATTCACCTAGGCGGACATGGACCACAGTCCTGCCAGGCTCCCAGTACCCTGGACAGTGCTTAAGGGAAGGCTGGATCCACAGATAAAAGGCACAAGGCTCAGTAAGAAGCAATTTGGCAAGAGTCCTATTTAAATCTGCTACCACGCTTCTCATCACTTAATAAAGGTATAAAGGTACAGAAGTGAAACACTCACTTAAGCCAGCTGCCATTATGTCAAATATAAACCTTTGCCCCTCCTGATCACGAATAAAAAACCAAGGGGCGCAAAACAAATGCACATTTCCAAAGAATTCAAAACAAACATTTAGCAAGTTTATACCAACAACTTAAAATTTTTTTAATTTTCAATTTTCTAAGTATATGTAATTGCTTAGGTACAGAGAAGATGTGTGTATGTATATGTGTGTATGTGTATACATATATATAATTACCACAGCTATTTAATAATTATATTATTACCATAGTTATTGTTAAGCTCATAAACTGGTTATATTACATTTCAAAATGCAGCCAGCTTCGGGATGCAGAAATGCCAGTCTTCACCATGTATAAAGGTCAGACATGCTGGGCATGGGTGGCTCATGCCTGTAATCCTAACTACTCAGGAGGCTGAGATCTGAGGATCATGGTTCAAAGCCAGCCTGGGCTAGAAAGGCTGTAAGACTCTTATTTCCAATAAACTACTCAGAGAAAGCTGGAGTGGCACTGTGGCTCAAGTAGAAGACCACTAGTCCTTAGTAAAAGCAGCCCAGGACCTGAGTTCAAGCCCCAGGACTCCCCCACCCACCCCCCTGCCCCTGCCAAAAAAAAAAAGTTCAGGCATTAATTCCATGCTATCAACACATAACAAAGACTACTGATCTAAAGTACTTACAATCCATTCTCAATGCTAATACAATGGTTTTAAAATCACATTCACATATCTTAAAATCACACATGTCAAGGCACATAATGCCGTAGAGATGCAGTCACGAAACTGTGCTGTGACAAGTGCAAGGTAGAGTTCCAAACACACAAGGTCACCACAAAAACTAGTTCTAGCTCATAGAGACCAGATGGGGACGCTGGAGACCATGGATGCCGCACTTCCATAGAAAAGCCTCCTCACAGGACACAGGACAGGGCACATCCACAGGAAGGCCCTCCTCACAGGACACAGGACATGATTTGGGAAAATGCCCTCTACTCACCACATTGTAATAGCTCTTGTTGATGGCAGTTGTGTCAAACCCTTTGGGAGGGCTCTTCAATGATCCTGATTTGGGTGACACAGGCTTTTCTGAAATAGAAACAAGTTTTATTGATCAACACCACCAGAAATGGCAAAACAGCCTCCCTACACTATGACTACTATCCTCCAGTCTCAACCAAAACCACCAGCCTGGGAAGGCAGGAGAGGACCTCCAGTGGACACTGGCTGAGCTCAGGGACCCAGCCTCTGCCTGCAACTCTGCACTCAATGTCCACCCTGTGCTCCTGACTTCAAGTCAGGAGGCCTGAGACATTACTGCTCAGGAATGCAGCCATTCAGCCACATGTATAGCTCCATATTGTCATAATACAGCACACTACCAAACATAACTGGAGAAAATGCTGACAAATATGTAATACTAAGATACTGAGATCCACTGTTCTGGACTACAGAGATTCTGAGTGTTCAATACAAAGCCTTTCTCTAAATCAGTGGAAGAATGATGAAAGGGTGATAACAATTCATACTATTTATAAACTTGTTTGTTAAATGGCAACTCTTCTGTACAACTACTTAAAGATAATCTTTAAAAAGTAAAGAAATAAGCAAACACAAAGACCTGAGTAGGGTAGGTATAAGGCTTGAGATAACATAACCATCACACACAGGAGACGAATAGAAGGAAAAGAAGCAAACACTAGGAAAGTGGCATGGCCTAAAGAAGGCCCAGCAACTACAGCGATTGAGATCAACTCCACTCAACAGACCCTACTGAAGCAGCAACTACTCAACAAAAGCTGGGTTACATGCATGCATCTTGCTGGCCCGCTGGGTAAGCAGGTAATAAGTGTATGTGCAGCTATAAATGTATGGGGGAGGGATGTGCCAGTAGTTTTAAAGGTGTCAATCACTGGCTCTATGGTGTGGTGTGCCAGTGTTTTCACACTAGCTCTCTGGAATGAATACAGATGTGGTGTAATGGTTCTGTGGCTATCTATCACTGGCAAATGATAGGGCAAGTGGGCAGTTTAATCCTGTGGTTCTGCCTGTGGGTTTGTCTTCTGTCTATCACTGGTTCTCTGGGCTACAGAGGCAGAACAGCAAAAAACAGGGTTTGGGAGGACAAAGGGAGGGGAGTTGGTCTTCCACGTTCTTTCCCCGGGCACTCAGACAGATGAACCCTTCCTAGAGGCTTAGTTTCCAAGTCTTCCTCATCCCTCCTCAAGCAAGAATCACACTGGACGGACGTCCATGGTTCAGGGAGACACAATGTCCCTCTCTCTGGTGGGTCAGTGGCACCTGTCCACAGTCTCCTTTTAGACCCTCTTCTTTCCTCATACTTCTGTCCTTGCCTAACAGTGAGGGTTTCTGGGAGAATTTCACACCCAGCGCTCCCAGGCCTGGGGCTGTATGGCCAACTGCCTGATCAGAAGCTGCAGTCCCTTGTTGGCCACAGAAACCAGCCTGCAGAATGCCACCCTGACCGTAGCCTCTTGCCTAAATCTTCAGCAGCACCTCACCATCAAGTTTCCCCAAGTGATTAAAAATAAAGAACAAGACAAAAACAAATGTTTTCCAAACCCTCAGTTTCCTAAGAAATCCAACCTGATCTTGCTAACACTGACCTTCTTTTGCTCAGATTCTCATGCAGCTAAAACTTGAACTGAAGAGGAGAAAACCACAAAAATGTTTCATGTTAGAAGAACAGGGGTGTACCGCTCCAGGAGTCCACGCCCTGAGCACAGCTCCCGCCATCCCCCCTCCCCAATCCCAACCAAGACTGTACTTGCTCGCCAGGATACACACATAACACTCTGTAAATACAGAGTGGTCCATTCTGTTCTTTGCCTGACTCAGTGTCCTGGATCCCAGACTCCCTCCTTCTGGTTTCAACTGTCACTTCTCCCATGTCTCCCAATTCCTTAGGAGAGAGTCTGCTGATAGCCCCCTCCTGATCTGTGTGAAAATGATATCATACCTGTCTTCCACTATCGCTGTCCTCTCCCCACTCGGTACAGCAATGCAGTTATATGGGAAAACAGATCTTGTGTACTGCTCTTAGTATTCTATGCATTAGTATTACTGCATTAGTATTCTAGGTCCTTTTTTTCCTGAGCCTCACACAACAAATGCCAGAAGCAATACTGTTTCAGCCACTATTACTGCAGCACTCCTATCCTGTCAGAGGGACACCCTAACAGGTCTTTAGCACGTCTGACAAGATCATAACTTCTTGATCTGATTTAATGTTTAAACTATATGCAAATCTCCTTGTGTGTCATAATGGCTTTCTTAGTCTATTTGAATTAGGGACCAAAATTTGCTAAAAATAAAAAAAAATGAAAGCAACTACACTGAGCTAGGTCTCATTGCTTCACAGTGCCCACAGAGGGTACAGGACACAGCACGGTGGCCTCTTCCCTGCCTCTGTGCCTGCGAGCTCCTCAGCTGAGATTCCTGATTCATGAGCAGGAGCCCTCTTGGCTTGGCACTGGTGGGTTCCAGCAGCTCACGCATCTGCTGAGTAAATGCTGTTCTTATTTCAGAACCAGGTAACTGTGCTAACTGTAACAGGGACATGAGAACTCACTAGCAGACCCTGCAGAGTGAGTACAGGCAGAAAGAAAGGGTCAAAGTCAGTCCTCATGTCACAAAATGAGGGCCAACTGCAGATGAAATTCGAAATAAGACTCAACCGCACTACTTAGCACTGCCAACAAAGAGATCGGGCAGAAGGTAAAACAATATAATAAAGAACAACTTCGGGAGGAGGAAAGAGGAGCAGGGAGCTAAAGAGTCAGAAGACAAACTGTAGCAAACATGAACCAAAGCAAGAGTGAACCCAAGGGCTAGAAGGCTGCTTGCTGCCCGTTGCTCGCAGGAGGAAAGTGGCCTACCTGCCTGACAGAGCCTGGATGGACAAGGGTTCATGCCCTAGTCCTATGACCGCAGCACGAAAGCTCTTTCCTCCAACTTGCTGAGGCCCATGTTTGTATGACATAAACTTACAAACCATCTCCAGTACTAAGGACTAACAACCTGACTCCAGCCTTGTCCCATGTGCTGTGCCCTGGACACAAGGTGTTCGTCACTCATACCCAAAGATGGAGACAGTCAGAGGCCACAGCAGGCCAGGAGGCCAGCATTTGGGGGAGGATAGTGCATTTGTGTGTGAAGTAGCCTCAGAGACTCAGAGTGTTCAATATATGCATCTGTACCAAGAAGAACCCCCTAGGCCTTGGGTGCTTCCAGAAAAACATCTTCCCCCCCTACACACCCAGAGTCAGCCCACAGCAAAGGGGGATGGGCTGCAGACAGGACACACTAGAGACAGCACTTGAGCCAGGCTCTGTACTACCTGGACCCTCCTCCCCGTCAGATCATCCTACATCTACCTCTGTTCTTTCATGCCTTGAAAGCGACGGCCGCTTCTATGTAAAGTAAGCAGAAAACATTTAAAGGCGACAAACGGAAGAACTGGCAGGGCACATGCTCACTCAGGTCAGTGGGTCTGTGAATGAATGACTGTCACCCCTCTACATTTGTATAGACACTGCTCAGCACAGGTATGAGTCACGGCTCAAGCCAGCCAGCTCCCAAATCTTGTACAACAGATGATGAGCTATCCAAAAATTTCAGGATCAAAGTCAGAACATTAGGAATAATCACCTAAAACAAATGCTGCTGTCTGACCCCATGATATTTGCCTGTAACCACCGGGACTTTGTACCGCTGACCACACTCTATCCTCACCTCCGCCTGAATTTATCAGAAGGGTCTGCTGTTTCTCCCTCCTTGACTTCTCCTTGAATGGGGAGAGTCTCTATTATGTGCTTGGGAATGTATCAAACATATAAAACACATTAGAAACCTATGAGTTTTACACAGAAAGTAAATGCTAAGTAACAATTACACACCTTCCATGAAACTGTACATATCAAGAATAATGTAAGCCAGGCGCTGGTGGCTCACGCCTGTAATCCTAGCTACTCAGGAGGCTGAGATCTGAGGATGGAGGTTCAAAGCCAGCCCAGGCAGGAGAGACCGTGAGACTCCTATCTCCAATAAACCACCAGAAAACCGGAAGTGGCGCTGTAGCTCAAGTGGTAGAGCGCTCGCCTTGAG